AGTTTTATTATATACATTCTTATAAGTAATGATATGCTCTATTTTTTCTTAAATAAGATATTAGCAATTATAAAATTATAAGCTAGAACAAAATCTAATATGGTTCTATCACTTTCTCGCACTCCAAACCCATAATTATCATGAACGATTTTTGAATCTTCTAGCATTCTACTAAAATATCAATTTCTACAATATTATCTTTCAAACTCTTATCTATAATTACATAAACCATTTCTAGTATGACTCTTACCTAAATATTATAGTTCAAATCTTAAACTATTAATCTCCTTAGCCTTCTCTCCAGCCTATTTATTTTTTGGAATATATAGAATATTTATTTTCTTATAAATCATAATATCTAGTAATTACAATAATTTACCTATAAGAGAACCTATATCCAAGTTCACATCTTAATTATAATTTCATAGACTAGCTTTTTTGCCCACATCCCTCCATGATGTAGGAACCCGCCGTTGCAGCGACCCTTATACACTTCTCGTTGTATTCAAGTCATATAGGACGTCGCTTCTAGGGAATGCCATAACATTAACACAATGTATTAAATGATTCATGGTCATGTTTATTCGACCCGACTATGGACTGTCTATCGCAACCACCAACTTTTTTCCTCCAAGGCTTGGGACTTGGCAACGACAGTGATGATTTACTATTATCTTGATAAAAGAAAATTGCATTTTCTTATTTAAATTTTATCTGCATGCTTTAGTGTGGTAGAATACATAATCTAGCATCTATGATCCTTCAATCATGGTATTGCTAGGGTTTAAAAGATTGTTTAGTGCTTCATTCTATCCTATTGGTTACAAAGAAGCAAGATAACGAGCAAAATGTGTAATACATGGCAAAATTTAAGGGCATACAACTATTTTAATAATTTGTTGAATAAACAACTTGCAATCATAAAATTTATAGCAGGGCTTTATGAAAGCTTATACACAAATTGAAGTTTTTTACAATTGTTGATTTCTTTGAAGCTAACATAAGCTATTGCACTTGGTTGGTTTATTCCACTTTCAGAGGAGATGAAACATATTAGATTTAGAGGGTTTTCATAAAGAGGTCAAGCGATCTCTTCTTATGAAAACCATAAGAAACACTATCCCAAATGCTGCAATATCAAATGAAGGAAATAAATCATCCTAGTCTAGTAAGAAGTCTTTTGGCAATGAAGAAGAAAAGGAAAAATAGGTTCAAGAGATGGTAGATGAGTGCACCTTTGCAGTAGTATATAATCTGAAATGGGGAGTTGAGATCGATAAGGCTCTCAGGTAAAATAAGCAACTTTCCTATTTCTATGTGATAATTATCTTCAATCCTTTATTTTAATCTTATCCTTTAAGGCTATCCATAATTTAAATGAATGTTGGATATTTAGGATAAGATTATCTAGATTCTCCATTTAATTGAATAATGGATAAATATGTATTTACTCCTATAGTTCTATAAATAGGAAGCCTTTGGATGTTATTCTTCTAGTTAGTTGCAATCAATATTAAAAAATTTCATCATTCTCTTTCTTCTCTCTATTTGGTATGCTATCCAAGGCACCATCTGAAACCTTAAGACACTGTTTTCAACCAGCAGGCTACCTACCAACTACTTCCTCTCTCTTCATTTTGGTCAGCTTGGGAAGATCCTATTGCCTTCTAATTTCTCCATAGAAAATTTAATCTCTTATCCCAAATAATTCCTATTGATTTCATAGATTTTTTGCGCTCCAATCTAACTCAATTGATCACTTATATAAGTTTGAACATTGATCACATTTGATGAAGAATGATTTTTAATGCTCAACAGTAGTAGCTCTCTCTCTTTGTATGTATGTGTGTGTGTGTATTGAAATCAAAGGCAACTAGATCCTCAAAGAACTTATTTTGATTTGAGTTTTGCAAAAATCTAATGAAAGTCTTTTTGTTTCTAAAAGCCTACTTTATAACCAATTAATGACATGATGTCATAGGATTGAGGAATCCTTTATGAAAATTGCATGAACTCTCATTTTCAACATCTTGCTTATGCCTAGTAAATCTTGGAAAGTTATAAGAATTTTTTTCGTATTCCTACCCTGATTGGCAAACATAATTTGAAACATTCTATCCACTAGGGCATCAATACTATGAGACACCCATCAAAATCATTATGCTATTTTGAAATATGATCATTAGTGTCTTCACTAATAAGGAGATGTGGTGTTGACATATTAGGATGGTCATTATCAATGTTCATGCTTACAGATGATGAGGTTACCCTTGGGGATACCAATGGCAGACATAGAAGGCTTTAATTTCAGTGAAATTTCAAAAGTAGGTTTCAAAATTTTAGTGCAAATCTAAGCCGGAGTAGGAATTGCAACTTTCATGTTTGAATGTATAATTTGATATTTTTTTTGCGTATATGTTTGAATAGCTTATTTCTGGATGAGCCTTAAAGGAGGTTTCAACTTCTAAGTGCTAACCTATTATGAAGTAGGAGCTGTAACCATCATGTTCGAATGTTGAATCTAATCATTTGTATGTTCTATTTGTGCTTGGATGTCTGAATTTGTTCCAAAATGAGCCTTGAAATTTTGAGGGTAATTATGCCTTAAAATTTTGTATGAAGAACAATAGAATGTAATGCATATAAATTTTACTTTATGCTAATAATCACTAGATGAGGAACCAATGCAAATCTCCTTAATATTTAACCAGAGTAGCCACAAATGCTCGAGAGACAAGCCTTATAATATCCACTTATAAATATTTATCGAGCCTATTGAATATAAAGTTTATTGATGGAAATAATGTAAATGAAGTATTTGAATAGTAACCTAACTGGAGTATTCCTCCTTTATATTTAATTCAACGAGAACCCTAGCCATGAACGGTCTAGAGTGACAGACATAATAGCATTCACTTGCAAGTCTTCCTTGAAGGATTCAAACTGAGGAGACATTTAGTCATACATATTAGGTAGCCACTAACATAGTATGATTGCCATGAAAGAGATTGTTGTATGTTTAATATGGTTTTAGTGCTAATCTTATAGTGATATGATAATGGTCAATGAGCATCATAGAGAAGTCGACAATCAAGTGCAATTTTGATAAAAATTTGAGAATAATATCTAAATGTAGATTGCTTGAAGAAAATTTGCTTACAATAGAAAATTAGAGTGGACTTGCAAGCTCTGAAATTTTGTCTTTGAGAAATTAAGTGCATGTTTGCCTTGAAATCTAGATGCTTGCTTATGTTGAGGTGGGATCGAGTATTCTTGAAAAAATAAAAGGAAATGGATGAATGAAGGGTGATGAGTTTTTGATAGCTTCAAACTCTAACAACTTCTGGGAAGGATAAGGAATGAAAATAATAGAAGCAGCAGCACTCAATGCTCTATGAACAAGAGTTTCTTTAAAAAAGATAGTGGCGGTCGAAATAGGTGATAGTGTCGTTAGTGGATGAATAGGGAAATGAGCCAAAACTCTAGGCGCACCATTGCTAGGGGAGGAGGTGGAGTTAATAGCAGGGAGAGAGAGTTTGTCAGTTTGACCGCCTTCAGGATTGATCAATAGAGTCGAAGGAAATAGAGGTGAGAAGCAGTTGGCAAGCAAAAAGAAACCCCTCAAGAAGAATAACAACACTAGCCATAGCGGTTTGACATACGAAACAACCGCTAATCTAGGGAACGATCATTGAGATGCAGCAGAGCAGAGGATCACTACAACAACCAAGAGTTTGAGTGAACAAGATCTGAGCAAGAGTGCTCACGAGGTCGAATGAATCCTAAGAGAGATTTTGAGAGACTTCTTCTGATCTTCTATTTAAGTGTTACATTTGCATACTTATTCATGAGCAAATCATTTTGAAAGTTAATGAATCTATTATTCTTTTGCTTTTTATCTTATAAATTAAGATGGAATATTGGAATTTGCCAATTAGAATTTGTATGATTGAAAAATAAACCAAATTAAGCTCATATTGAAAAAAAAAAAACACCATTAACATATGGATAAGAGGATTGCTCTTTCCTTTAGGTGTAGCACATTTGACTGATTGCATGAGCTAAAAACATTTCGATTCCGTGCATCTTTAGCTGGAAATTCTAAAATAAATTTTATAAAAAAAGGTATAATCATATTTAATAGGATGCCGCCCCCCTACTTCGAATGACCAAACAAATAGTTGATCACTTCAAGAATTACCAGCAATTAAAAACATACATTATCCATAGTTTCAACGGGCTTCGGTGATCTTAATCTCTTATGGTATGTATTATCTTCTCTTATAGCAGTGGATTAACAGCATATCTTGATTTTGTTCTCATGTTCTATATTGGGTTAACATTCCAAATATCATATCTAGTATGTACGACTCGCCAATACTTTAACATCCTTATATCTGTGTTTCCTGAGTTTACTTTCCTCAAATTTCTGACCAAGTCCGACATATTAATTGGAATTGTTAAAGGAGCATATTCTTGCAGGGCAAGTTCTAAGAAAAAAGCTCGAGACATTAATGGCTTTCCTTAGTAGATGCAGTTGTGTATGCCCGTTCATTTATTGCTCGCAAGCTTAGTTAAACAAACATGTAAAGCACCTCTTCCAGCATTTTATGCAAGTTCCACTTTCTAAAAAAGTACACTTACCTTTGAGGCAAAAAATATACCCGCACAAGAGCGATCCTTTATTTCCTAGTATTAGTAGAAAAGCCTTTAAACTTTGTTATAGTGTATGGCATAGCAAGCTATCTATCTATCATGACCTTTTCTTTTTATTATGGTCATCTTATTCAGGTTTAGTTTGGAACAGCTTTTTTATTGCTCTTAAAGCAGCATTCTAGTACAAAAATTTAAATTTTTATACTAAGAAGTTGCTTTAAGAAAATCGTCTCAAATGAAGCCTTAATTGTTTTCATCATGCTTCTTTTAGTAATAAAAATAGATCAGAACATCTAATTTGGTTAAAGAAGCCCATGTCAGAAGCCAACTATGTATCTCTGTGTTCTCCCTAGCTTGTTATGTGTAGAAATTTAACATGTTTCTTGCAGACTACAACATCAAACTGCAAATTATCTGGTGCAAAGAGGAACGCCCAGGGTGAACTCCTGATCCAGCCCGAAAAGCAATGGGGTTGTGCCCTCTGCAAGGTAAATTCTTCTAGCGAGGAAGCCCTGAAAGAGCATCTTCAAGGTAGGAAGCACAAAGCAAAAGAAGCCTTACTATTGCCTAACAAGAAGACTAGTCCCCTGCAATCTAAGCAGAATGTGAGTCCACCATCAGAGGGTGCATCGGTTGGCACGCCTCCGAAGAAGAAACTTTCAGAAGGAAAGAAGCAACAGAAGCTTTGGTGCAGCCTCTGCAGAGTGAAATGTAATAGCTCCATTATGTTAGAATATCACTTGGCTGGCAGAAAACACAGGAATTTTATGGAGTTGAAGAAAGCCAACTTTAGTTTTAAGACTGAAGCAGTTAATTTTAAGACTGAAGCAGTTACGATAGCAGATGAAAAACTTGGGGACAGTGGAAGTGCAGGATTAGTTGAGGAAGAGTTGGAGACTGCATGCCCTTCAACAGCACCATCAAGCGCTGGAGTGGACGTAGATGGGAAGACTACACAGGATTCGTATTGACGATAGCCTCTAGAAATTGTAGCAGAGGTATGATTGCTGCTAGGATTTTAGTACTATTTTGTATTTGACATCATGAGCAAATACCCGTTGGATTTGACCGTTAAATTCAGGACTTTGTGAAATTTAATGGCTTAAACCATTGAGCAGTAGCTATTTTATTTTATGCATGATATCAGTTTATTCTGCTTTATTCATTTCTATTTTCCAGATCTTTGATATCAGCTGTTAGATTCTCTAATTTGATCTTGGACGGTCTATTTGTTCTTTCTATTTTTCCCTGTTTTTTGTATCCTGCTGTGAATATTATGGGAAAAGCTATAATAATGGATAAGTTTATATTAAAGAGTATTGAAAATTAGTAAAATAAAGATGAATTGTATAATATATGATTCTAATAGATGTAATGGAAACAAATATTGGCTAATGTGGTTGAAAAATGAATTTATAATTTGAGATGAACTAATAAAAACCTTAAAGCTTCTACAATAATAATAAAAAAAAATCTAAATTAGTTATTTATTGATTGCACTCCTAGTGAAGGTTCCAGAACCTTTGGTTCCTAATAGTGTTATTCATCATTGTATTTGGTTATCATGATGAACAAAATCTTATAATGGTATGGAGATTATAACATAGACTCAATGTATATAATTAATAATTAAAAAAAGTACAAAAGCCTGTCAAAATTCTTACATCTATGTGGTAAGAAGCTATGGAGGATATAGATCATATATGATTTGTATTAGTTTAAGGAAACATATTAGGAGATATTATTTGACACGATTTAATGAAAAAATGAAAAGCCAATATTAGGAGATTTATGAAGATGTGGCATGGTTTTAGTGGTAGCAATATAAAAGTATAAATATTTTGTGTCATGTAGTAAAAGTGTGTATGACCGAATTTTATGAAATATTTTAAGAATTTATGAAGAAATTTACTTAGTTTTGATGAGGTAAAATATAATAACCTAAATACAAGGATAATATGGGAAATACATAAAGAATTAGATTGTTGTTTTAGGATAGAAGCAAATAGGTTATACATTGAAGTAAATCACAATGAAGTACAATTTTTTTGGAAATGAATAGCTTATGTGGGAGATGGGAGAGTGATGGGGGCTATTATTAATGGGTTGGTTGGGATAACCAAGGCTTTAGAGAAGGTGATGGAAGGCTTATATATGGAGCTTGTCATGTGGATATTCTAATGGAGGTGATGGTTATAATGGTGATAAGTTATTATTGATAGTAGTGATATTTGTAGCAAAAACACATGCTTGTTACTATGTGGGCTCCAAAAATTTACGCCCTAGCCTCTTCGCAGCCCCTTTCTCTTCTTTTTTGGGTCATCGAAGAGAGTTTTAACTCATAAGTTATGAGATAAATTTTCAAAAGGTAGATTGGATTGTGAATAAGACATCACCTAGAGAATTTGCCCTCTTTTTTGCAAGGACTTTATGATCTGAGTTCAAGTTTCCTATAGGCTCAAGCCCCTATAATTAATTATCGCTCCTAGTAACGAGAGAGAACTTTCAATTAAGGCTAGTTGTCGAATAGATACATAATATCCATAGATACAAAATATTTGGTGTATTGTTTCAGTATAATTTGGTATTTGAAAATTTAAAATTAGAAAATTCACCATCTTGAACTTACAGTAGATGGTGGGGGAAGTGACGATAGACCTAATCAAGATGCCATGGTACTGTCGTCCTCGGTCATCATGGTCTTTGCTATACTTAAACAGAGGAGGTAGTTGACCCAACCTGACAAAACGATCCTTGTTAGCAGCTGTGAGTTGTTTCTTCAAATGGTACCTTGTAGACCTAGGACAAATATTTATTTAAGGGGATAAATTTGAATCCATCTTAGCTAAAAGAGAGCTTAGTATCCTATCGATTATATTCTATTGATTCATTTCTTAAAAATTTGAAGCCAGTGGTGAAAATCCGTATAGGTTGTTAGATCTAACGCAATTGTCCCAAGGCTAACCAAGATAGGGGTGAATTGGTAATTTAAAAATTTCCTCTTTAAATAAAAATCATTTTTAAGATTATTTTGCATAATTTAAGTTTTAACAAAATAAAACTTTTCAAGCACTTAAATAAAAAGTGCAAAAAATAAAATTGCGAAAAAAAATAAAGAACACAGAAATTTATAGTGGTTCGGTCCAACTAGACCTAAGTCCACTCCATGTCATGTATTGCACTATTACCAAAGTGACTATACTTTTGCTCTCACATCAAGGCAGAGAAGCCTTTACAATTACCCTTTTTTCCACCAATTCCCGGTGCGATAAAGTACCGTCGTCCTTCCACACTCTCAAAGTGTAGGCAGAGTACCGTCATCCTTTCACACCCTCCAATTGTCGAAAGAGTATCGTTGTCCTTTCACACCCTCCTATTGTTAGTAGAGAACCATCGTCCTTTCACATTCTCCTAGTGTAGGAAGAGAATGTCGTCCTTTGACACCCTCTTGGTGTCGGTAGAGAACCGGATCTTCTTCAAAGATCTTCTCACCAGCAACTCCAGAGACGTAAGGGAAAGAATTGACAAGACTTACAAAGAGATCCTCACCTTTGAGCAACCTTATGAATCCTTTACAATTTCCACTTGAAAAATCTCTCTCCACACTCTCAAAACACTCTCCCAATCACTCTCACACTTTTGCTCTCAAGAAAAATGAAGAAGTATTTTTCCAAATAAGTTTCTAAGGACATTATATATGAAAGGCACAAAAAACCATCCTAAATTGCAAGTTTGATCGTTCATGATTGTACAGTATGATCGACTTTCGTACACATGAGCAATTCAAAGTTTGCTCGTATGATCATGTACAAAACATTTTCATACATACATATCGTACAGTACGAACTATATATCATACAGTACAAACCGTTTAGAAAATTTTCCTATTCGTCGGGACGAAAAGATACACCACAATTTCGTACTATGGACGTCGTATATACGAACATGAGATCGTACAGTACGGACAGTTCAGAAAAATTCTGTGTTCGTCGAGACGGAAAGTGACACAATCTTTTCGTACTCTGGATGTCGTATCTACGAAGGGGACTTCTTACAATACGATCAGTTCAGAAAAATTTAGTGTTCGTCGGGACGAAAAGAGACATAATCTTTTCATGCTCTAGACGTTGTTTGTACGAAGGGGACTTCATACAGTACGATCAGTTCAGAAAAATTTTGATGATCGTCTGGACGAACTTGTATGTATCTATTTCGTACTTTGGACATCATCTGTACGAAGGGGACTTTGTACAGTATGACCAGGACTTAAAAATTTTTTTCTTATGTGGTTCGATTATTGCTTTCTGGAGGAACTAACTGGATAAATCATCCCGTATGATTCGAAATCGTACAATACGATTAGATTTAAAAAAAAAAATTACAAGTTTTAACACTCCCCCAATGTGTTTGTGCACGGCTACCCAATTACAATTATACTCTCTCAAATTCAATAAAAGTATAAAATATATACTCCATTCACAATAAACCCTAATCTAATCTGTCTTGAAGTCTTCAACATTCTTGAGTATAATTTCTCTAAAATGTTGGTACACACAAACAACAAAAGTAATATTTCTAATATATGTTAGTAGAAACAATAAACAAATAATAATATTTGAAATAATAAAAAACACACATAATATGAAAACATAGTTATGAAGACTAAGTTGCAACAATTGGAGAACATATGATTTTTGATCATGATCATAATTTGATGGTGTCATTTAGCGGCAAAATCACCTAGTCAGAGGGTCCCAATCATAATTGTTTACCTTTTCTGCCATTTGGGGACAAACAATTGGTTAGAGGACACGTGGCACGTCTTTACTGTCAAGAGACTGATTCATAATGAATCATAGTGATATTCTCGACCAGACATTAGCTCTTTGTAAGCTGAAGTAGTTTTTAATTTGTTCATCCAACAAACTATTGTGGATGATGTATGTTATACATTGTATAACATAAATACTCTATAAAGAACGGAAAACAAATGGCATTCCAAAGAACATACATTTTGATAGGGTTGAGAGTTTTACAATTAACAAGAATAACAAGATAGTACAAGTATGTAAAGAAGTTGTACCTGGAGAATTTGAACCCAGTCTTCTCAAACGGAACAAATTTGTTTTACCAGTATTAGTGAAAAATCTCTCAAGTAAACTCAAAATTTTTGAGCTACTCATTTGTTGAGTATATTTTTGAGTATTTGTAAGGTTTAGTGTTTAAAGTTTTTAATGTTTAGGGTTTTTTAGGGCTTACTGTGTTTAGTTATTTATTATTTTTAGGATTTATGGATAGGATTCATGTTTCAAGATTTTTAAGGTTTAGATTGCAAAAAATACGCAGCAAATATGGAAAGCCATAACAAGTAGCAACCAATTATGCAATTATAAAACCCTAAACACTTAAAAAAATCGAAAAAAACAAGATAAATATATAAATTTGTTAAGTAACCAATAAAATGAAGAAATAAAAAAATAGTGTATACGTAAAAAATACACAGAAAATATCCAGTGCCTTAACCAACAACAACCAACATGCATTTTAAAAGAAAACAAACAAGCTAAACATAGAATTGTTTATATATGTAATAAAAATGCAGTTCATACACAATTAACATAAGAAGTAAATAACAGTCTAACATTTTTTGAAGTTGATGTCATTTGCGTATATGAGAACTCATAGAATGTCAGAAGTTGCAAGGAGAAGCGAATGTCGAAGCTTAGGAGAATAACGAATGTCGGAAGTTGAAAACTGAATAGGCACTTGAAAAGTAAAAAAAATTCGTCATTTTCATCTCTTTACCTAAGTTTGGGTGCGGTCTGGGCGAGTCGGGCGGGCTAATAAGATAAAAAAATTGAGTTGGTCGGGCTAACAAGACGTCACTTTCTTGTCACGAGCAGTCTACACGTCACAATTTTATTAGCGTCCGGACGCAGAGCTGTGTTCAGACTCCACACAAAATAATTTCTCTCGATCAAATATGCGATATGCAGAAACCCTAAACCTCTTTACCTTCTCGCGATATGGATTTCAATGGTTACACCGGGGACGATTTTGATTCCTCTCGCATATTTATGGTATCTGATAGCTATTTCGCCTCCCAAGCTCTTCACTGTAAGGGGTTGTTTGGATGCACCAAAGATTTAATTCAATTAGGATTTCATAAATCCTCTAA